AAAAAAAAAAAAAAAAAAAGAGAAGGGGATTGGATGACATTTCTTTGAAAGAACTGGTGAGGGGACAGAGGGAGATAAATGCTTCAAGCTGGCAGGATCCTAATTTATCCTGAACCCCTCGTTTTACAAGTGAACAAACGGTTCAGCAAGGAGAGTTGTCCGAAGTCCCTGTTCAAATGCAGAGTGAGAGCAGGAAGACAGAGCTCTTGAGCCCAGCAGAGCCTCCTCCCTGCCTAACATATCCTGCCCCCTGGACACTCCAGCCCTGACCCAGCTATGCACTGCCACCACCAAGACCTGATGGGCTTGGGGATTTTATGACTCGGGCACGTCTGTGTTTTCAACCTAACAGTGGGGCACAGGGCATGGGGACAGGTAAAGATCTTGATCCCTGCACGTGACGTCACATCTTGGGCGTGGTACAACTGGCCACTATGTCCCTTCCTAGTCACTGGAAAAGACTGGGGAATGGAAAAAGGCCATCTGGGTCCCCTGAGGTCTTCCCCTCCATTCCCCAGTCCTGCCTCAAAAGAGCTCACCTGTATTTCCCAGGCTGTCCCTGGGCAGTGTGGCTTCCAAAAAGGCGGAGCAGGGGCTGTTACCTGGACCCAGAGTCCCCTGTGGCAGCTCCAGGGACAAGATTGAGTCCTCAGGCTGTGACAGGCAGTTTCTGACCAGGAGCCGGCCCTGTAAGTGGCTCTCACTCTGGCTGGCGGGCTGCATGTGGCCTGGCAGGTAGAGAGCCAGGCTCCGGAGGTGGCGTAGCAGGAAATTCTTGGGTTTGCTTCCCTGGACACTGGGGCACTGCTCCTGCTGAACTCCCAGCCCCCCCTCGTAGATGTTGGGTGGTGTGTGGGGGTCGCTGGGGTGTCCTCCAGCCCAGCTCACTGCATCTGCAGAGGGAAAGTAGAAAGGTAGTGGTCAGCCAGTCTAGCATTCATGAAGAAAGCAGGCTCCTGCCTCTGAGACCCACACCTGCGGTAGGCTCTTACCATCCTACCCAGCCTCAGCTTACTCGTCTGACAAACGGGCTTGATTTCCTGCCTCTGTCCTGCTCTCACCCTCTTTACTCTTCCAACCAACATGGGCACCTAGAAAGCCTAGAACCTTAACACTGAAATCCCTTTTATCACTTCAAGCTGCTTGTGTCACCCCTTGGTGCTCCAACCCTAGAAAGTATATCCAAGTCCAGGTACAGAAGCTGCACAGTGGGCCCCAGAGGATGTGACCAGCCCAGGGTCATGGGCCCTAGATCAGTGGCCATTGCCCTTTTCTAAGCATGTATGTCCCTGAGGCTGCCCCAGTGGCTTAGGGCACACACTGGGAAAGGAGAGCATTTCTTTGGCCACTCTTCCCTGCAGCCTGGCACCTTCTCTTATTCGCAGCTCAGAGAATGCACAGACCAACTCTTCCATGGGGGGCCAGTGTGCTGGAGGGATGGCCAGGCCTTGTGTGCTAAAGGGCCCTCCTCTCCCCTGCCTAAGGGGTGGGGCTGGGGGGTCTTCTGTGGCAACTGGCTCTTATGATGTCACAGGGAAGACTAGCCTTTCTACCAGACTCACAGAGTTTGGAGAAGGATGATGTTCAAGGGAGGGGCAGGGTGAGGAGGAGGGAAAGGGAACAGGCCAAACCCCAAGGGAAATCCCTGGTTCTTCTGGCTTAGGACAGACTCCATACGATGGAGTCAACTCTGGCAGGCTGGAGAGCCATTTTATGCAGTGACCTCTTGGCATCTCAGCCTCCAAGTGTGAGGGTTTGAAATCAGGGTTTAGGGTTTGGGACAAAGACCTGGTAAAGCTTTTGAGCAGTATGATAGGTTTCTTCAAATAAGTAGAATCTATAGGGAATATATAAATGGTTTTTGAAAAGATGTATTAAGGGAATCAGCTCAAGTGATTGTGGAGGTCTCAAAATCCCATAACACATGGCCTGCGTTTGGAAAATCACAAAAGCCAATGACATAATTAAATCCAAGTCTGAAGACCCGAGAACTGTGCTGGAAATGGGGTAGAAGTGGTGTACATGGAAAGGCCTGAGAACCAGGAACTCCAATGTCTAAAAGCAGAGGATGGATGGATATCCCAGTTTAAACTCTTCTCCCACCTTTTTTTTTTTTTTTTTTTTTTTTTGTACCAGGGATTGAATTTGGGTCCTTGCGCTTATGCGGGAGGCAGCGACACCACTGAGCTAAACCCCTGGTCCTCTCCCACCTTTTTAACTGGACCCTTTAATGGTCTGACTGACATCCACCCACATTGGTGAGGGCCATCTGCTTTACTCTGTATACCAATTTAAATGCTAATTATTATACCTGATACACCCAGAAATGTTTTTCTAGCTATCTGGGCATCTCCTAGCTCAATCAAGTTGATGCATAAAATTAACCGTTACAGGCAAAAATTGATAAGCTGATCCTAAAATTTATGTGGAATTACGAGGGAGTCCAACTAACTGCAACATTCTTCTTTTGTAGTACTGGGGACTGAAGCTGTGGCCTCACACATGGTAGGCAAGTGCTCTACCGCTGAGCTGTACTGCTGCGGCAGAGCAGAGAAGCTCAGTGTTGCAGCCAAGTGACACAGCTCTGAGGCACAGCTGAGCTTTATAGCTCAGTATGGCAGCTCTGGGTCACAGCTCTCATAATTTGAAGACTCAAGAATCCGATGGTCAGTTGAAAAAGTGGAGGAAAAAACCTTTATTACAGCAGCAAGCCCAGTGGGCTCAGAGGAGTCTCAGCAAAAACAAGAGCCTCCTCTACCAGAAATGAGAGCCTCCTTATATAAAGGCAGGGTAGGCAAGCCAAATCAATGAAGGGGGGTGGAGTTACAGAACAGTCCTGAAATAAAGGCGGGGAGATTAACCTTGTGAGGGGGTAGAGCTTAACAAAACATTCATGAAACATCACACAGTTCAAACAGTCACAAACCATTTCGATACACAAGTCAGGAGCCCAGCAACACAAACTTACATTTCCAAACAAAACACTCTGTGGGGAAAAAATGGAGGCAAGGCAAGGGCCTGTATTCTATAGCACTTCTCTAGCAATATCTTCTACCTTTAGTAATGTGGGGGGGTTGAGACAAGTTCTGTGTAGCCCAGGTTGGCCTCAAACTCACAGGAATCCTGCCTTAGCCTTCCAAGTAGCTGTCATTGAAGGTATGCCCCACCATCCTACACCTAACATTCTTCATTATTTTTTTTTCCTCCCTCCCACCCTGGAGCCTCCCAACCTTTTTGTTTTTTGAGACAGGGTCTTGCTATGTATTTCAGGCTGGCCTTGAACTCACTATGTAGCCCAGGCTGGCTATCCTCCTGCTTCATTCTACCAAGTGCTAGGATTACAGATGTGAACACCACACCTGGCACATTCTTCAGAAAGGAAAACAAAGAACGGGGACTCACATGGTCTGATTTCAAAACTTACTACAAAGTTAACATTAATCGAAATAGTGTAGAATTGGCATAAGGATAGACCTATAGACCAATGGAGTAGAATGGAGAGCCCAGAAATGAATCCATATAGTGACAGGCAACTGATTCTGACAAGGGTGCCAAGATCATCTTTTGGAAGTATTTTTCAGTTTTTTGTCCATTTTTGAATTGTATTGTCTTCTTATTAAGTGTTGAGAACTCTCTTCTAAATACAAGACTTAAAAAAAAAAAAGGAAGTATGTGCTTCAAAATTAATTTCTTCCAGGGCTGGGGATTTAGCTCAGTGGTTCTGTTGCCTGCCTTGCAAGCACAAGGTCCTGAGTTTGATTCCTGGTACAAAAAAAAAAAAAAAAAAAAAAAAAAAAATTTTTTTTTTCTTCCAGACTGTGCCTTATCTTTTTGTTAAGTGCTATTAAACAAAATTTATGAAAGACCATGTTAACAGACCGAACTAGAGTGAAGCCACTCCTATTAGGTGCCACATAATCTATCAAGTTGAAATTAGGAGCCAGTTTTACAAAAAAAAAAAAATTGTAGCAACCAGTCCTAAGAAAACTAAGTCCACATGTGCCAGCTTGATGAAGAAGTTCCCTCTGTTTTAACCCATGCAAGGAAAGTAACCTGGTGCTAACCAAACCACTATTTTGCTGTTTCTTTGTCCTTTTTCAAGCTACATTAAAAACCCAAATGTTCTGCCACACCTGTTGGAGCACCTTCCTGTTTCATTGATGGATGCTGCCCATTCAAGTATCCCTAATAAATGCCAATTCGATCACTAAACTCAATTTGTTGAACTTTAATGGTTCCTTTTGAAGTGCAGGAGTTTTCTATTTTGATGAAATCCGGTTTATCTCAAGATTTTTTTATAGTTAGCTTATGTCTAAGAAATTTTTTGTTTTGTTTTTATTTTTTGCTTTTTGAGACAGGGTCTCACTATGTAGTTGAGACTGACCTGGAACTCACTATGTAGCCTAGGATGGTCTCGAACTCACAGCGATCCTCCTGCCTCAGCCTCCCGAGTGCTGGGATTACAGGTGTGTGCCACCACACCCGGCTATGTCTAAGAAAATTTTTTTCTTGATATATCTAAAGAAGTTTTGCCTAACCCACTCACAAAGCTTTTCCAGTAAATTGCATTATAGAAAAATCTTTATTTTACATTTAGGTTTGTGAACTTTAATTTTTGTATACAGTGCCAGATTAAAAGTGGCGGTTCATGGGCTTTCAGTTCCAAAAACACTTGATGCAAAGTCTCTTTCCTCATTCAAGGGTATTCTCGCCTTTTCGGTGTGTGGCTCTGTTTCAGGACCCCCTTCATATTCTACACATTAAGTCCTTAAGCGTCGATTCCATGGCCAATACCAGGCTGCACGGCAAAAGTCATCAACTAGAGCCTGCACCTCCCCATCTTCAGGGTTTCACTTCGTCTTGGCCCCCTTCCAGGCTCAGCTCATTTTTTCTCCCCAGGTCTTGTTTTCCCGAACGCGTAGCAGCCACCCAGAAGGGCACCTGTGGAGCATAGAGCGGACTCACCCACGTGCTGGGGGCAGATCTTCGCGCTCCACAGCGCCCCATCTAGGCGGTCTCACTGTCGCCCCCGGCGGAAGTGGCCCTGTTTGCAGCCAAGGTTGCCGTGGCAGCCGCCGAAGCGCAAAGCTCTGGACCGATTTTCGGCCTGTAGTGAAGACTAAACTTGCGGCGCAGAGGCGCGATTGCCGCAGGGCACGTCTGTGGGTGGCCTGGGTCAGCCTATAGTTTTACTGTCTTCCAAGCCGAGGACACTTTTTGGCAGCTTAATCCTCGGGCCTTTTCACACGGCAGAACATGCGCTGTGTAAGGACACGAAAGGAAGACCTGGCTTCATGGAGTGAGGAAATGAGAAGCAGTGTAGGAATCGCCTAACACATTGTAAAGCACATAGTAAGCGCTCAGGATATGTCAGTCAGTGTCAGCTGCCCGATAAACTATGTCAGGAATGGCTTCAAGGCTCCTATTCCTCTCTCGAGGCCTGGACATCTGCTACTGTAGGAACTCCCGGGGCTCCCCCTGTCGGCCGATGTGTGCGTGTGTGCGCGCGCGCGCGCATGTGCGTTGTGGCTTTTCCACGTAGCGTCTTGTTTGGCCCAGACAGTGCGCCGTCCAGTACGTCCAGTGGGTTGCCATAGAGACCGGCGAGTGCTGGGCCTGCGAAAGCAAAGCGCTGGGGCTACGCACTGTGATCCTGACTCCTGAGGACCCGAGTACCATGGCTTTCCGTGACCTCCGAAGTAAGGCAGCCAGTCCCCTGTGCCTGCGTGTCTTCTAGAGACTCGGTTCCGGCAGGGCCCTCTGAGTGCTCTGAGCCTCCGGCCCGCCCCTTATGCACCCCCGAGTTCCAACCTGGTTTAGTATGGAAAGTTGTTTACCGCTGGCCGCGGGTGCTAGAGGACACTTAAAATGTGGCTACTGAGGTTATTTAATTTTTGCCTAATTTTAACTGATTTGTAACCATCTGGGGATGTTCGTTGGCGTATCGGAAAGTGCGTGGAAAATGCTGAGTTGGGTTAGCTTAGAGCTTTGAGGAGGGGGCTGGATGATGGTAAGAATTACAGCTAACTTTTTAAAAAGTTTTTTTTGTGATCTGCCATGTACTGTTCTGTGTGTACACATTATTTTTTCTGTAATGTAAATATGCATAGTTTATTGAAACAGCTACTAGCATCAGAGAGTAAATCCTGTTCTCTGGGATTTGAGGGTCGTTAGTTATGTGCTTTGTAAAGACAGGTGTGTTTCACGTTTTTAGCGAGGCCACCACTTTGCTAGGGATCGGTGAATGGAGTTGTATTGGGAGGAGCGTACACAAAGAGAATTTCAGAGAATAAAATTCAGAGAATATAAGAAAATAAAATCCCAAATGCTATGCCGTAGTGCAGTATACAGTAAGAAACTTAGATCAGCCTCCATTTTTCTATAATGCTGCAGAATTATTAACAGAACTACTGACTGATTTCTGCTACTTAGCAGGAAGAAGTAGTATGTAGGTAATGCCTGGAAGTGATGGGAAGGCTGCTCTATTTTTTATCTAGTCTGTGTTTAGATTTCTCAAAATCAGAGTCCTTCTGTGACTTTTCTCTTTGCTATGTTCTTATCTTCTTCACTGTCTGATGGAATCCCACCTAACTTCTAGTGCCCAGGTAGGTTATTTGTGACTGTTGATGGGACATTTGAACATCTGTCTTCTCGAAGAGTGAGGACAGGTATCACATCACCAGAAAGTACACTGAAGATAGATCTTGGCACATCATGGAAACTGCAAAAATGTTGATTGTGTTCATTTCCAAATCATACTTTCCTAAAAGCACTATAGCTTTTCCAAACTACACTATAAAACAGGTACTAGAGCTGTGTAAGGTGGCTCACACCTATAATCCCAGCACTTGGAGGCTGAGGCAGGAGGATCATTGTGAGCTGGAGGCCAGCCTGAACTACATAGGAAGACCTTGTCTCAAAAAAACAAAACAAAACAAAAAAAAACCCCAAACCCAGGTAGTAGTATTATTACTATTTCTTAATCTGTTTTATAATAAAATCTGTATCTTTATAGTTCAACCACTAAAATTTTTCTGAGTACAAATCAACTAATCTTTAAAACCTATGTTAAGATCCTATATATTCACTAAAAAAAAGACAACTCAGAAATGTGAACTGTACCCTACCCTACCCAACCCCCAGAAATAATCACTGTTAAATTTTTAAAATATTTTCCCTTGTGATATTCTATAAGGCCAAGTATTTATTTTTTTATTTTTATCCTCTTTTTTTTTTTTTTTTTTTTTTGGTACTGGGGATCGAACTCGGGTCCTTGCTCTTGTGAGGCAGGCCACCGAACCGCTGAGCTAAATCCCCGGCCCTTTATTTTTTTATTTTTAGACTTGACAGCTTAATGAAACATGTTATGCTGGATTGGATCCTACAAAAGAGGCCATAGTGGAGAAAAGGGTGGTAATTTGGCTTATAGTACAGTATTGATGTTAATTTCTTAGGTTTGATAAATGGGCCATGGTACAAAAGACACTAACAGAGGAAGCAGAGTAAAGCATATATAGCATATATGTACATCATCCCCCACTTCTTTGTGGTTGTGAAGATTAATGGATTTCACATTGGCAGATTTGTACATAGCATGCTTTGATAATTTTCATCCCTCCTATCACCTGCCTTACCCTCCAGGTATTTATTTTGAGTAGTAAAGAGAAAGATATCAAAAAGAGAAGTAAAGGCCACAGTTAAGCCCACCACGCAGTTTTCATGTGTACTGTGTACTTCCACTGAACTTAAATGGATGTTTTTCAGGTAACAGATTAGGTATTTTAAGTTGTATGTCTCTTTTTTTTTTTCTTTCCCTCCTAGGAAGTTGATCAGTAGTTGGGAAAGCAGAAGCAGTATCTTAATTAACAAGTAGTTACTGTTTGATGAGGATTTGATTGAATTGTATTTTACCTTGTGCAGATTTCATAGAGATGATGAGAGCCCTAGGGTACCCGCGACATATTTCCATGGAAAGTTTCCGCACACCGAACTTTGGACTTGTATCTGAAGTGCTTCTCTGGCTTGTGAAAAGGTTAGAATTTATTTTATTTGTTTATTATTATTGGTACCGGGGATTGAACTCGGGACCTTGGGCTTGTGAGGCAGGCCACAGAATCACTGAGCTAAATCCCCAGCCCCTAGAATCTACTTTATTGAAACTGAAGGATGAATACTACATTTCAATCATTAGCCACCTAGAAAAAGGTTACTGTTTTGATGGAAGAATCCTTACAGTTTGAGTTTGATAGACTCTGTTTGTAACCTGCTAAAAATCAGCTGAATTTCTCAGGCATAGTGACATATCCCGGTAATCCCAGCACTCAGGAGGCTGAGGCAAGAGGATAACCATGAGCTCAGGGCCAGCCTGAACTGCACAGCAAGACCTTGTCTCAAAAACAAAATAAAATACAAATAAAAAACAAACCCCCCAAATCAGCTGAATTTTAAAGAGTACTGTGGGAGGGGACTCAGTAGAGTGTTGGTGCTGGCTTCTTTTCATCTCTTTACATAGAATGACAAGGACCACCCTGCACTGGGTTAGATATAATTTAGATTTCTCTTTGTATAAAGAAATCTAGTGTTTCAGGGTCAGCAACCTGTTGTGTTAAGGGCCAAATAGTTTACATTTTGCTACACATAAAATTTAGGGTACCCAAGGTCTCTGTCACATATTCTTTGTTTTCTAAAAAAATCCTTAGCTCGCAGTTTATGCCAAAATAGGTTGAAAGCTACAGTCTGCTAACCCTGATGATAGGTGACTCAAAGAAAGTAACTTCAGCAGCTCTGCCTCTCACCGGGAACTATTTAGCCCGGTTGTCTATGTCAGACTTAAAGGCTATTGGCCAGAGTAACAATTAGAATTTTTTAAATTTATTTTTAACCGGGCATCATGGTATGTCCTATAATCCCAGCACTTGGGAGACTGAGGCAGGAAGAGTCAATGTGAGTTTGAGGCCAGTCTGGGCTACATAGTGAGTTCAAGGCCAGCATGAACTACTGTACATAGCGAAACTTTGTCTCAAAAATAAATAAAATTTATTTTTAAAAATTTCTTCAGTTTTATGACTACCCCACAAAATCTCAAGGTCCTAGATTTAATTTTGTAAGCTGAGTCCCACATTTAATTCTTAAATCACTTGAGTCTGGTTTTGGGTGAGAATTTGTTCCCTTGATATTTTGTGTTGCTTTTGAAGTTTTTTTTTTAAGCTCATGGCCTTAAGTGGGGTCTTGGAGAGTCCTGTGTTAGAGATCCACTGCCCTTTCAGGTGCCTACTTTCTCTTTAATGGACTTTCTGTAAATGAACTTGTGTTTGTGCTTCCTCCCTCTCCCTCTCCCTCTCCCTCCTCCTCCCCCTCTCTGTGCAATAGGTATGAGCCTCAGACTGACATCCCTTCTGATGTTGAGACTGAACAAGACCGAGTTTTCTTCATTAAGGCAGTTGCCCAGTTCATGGTTAGTTCACAGTTATTTTGTGGAATTATAAAATTAGAAAGGGATGAATCCTAGTTAGGGCTACTTTCAAATTGAGTAATTGAGTTTACTTTCTAAAACCATTCCATTGCCAGATTCTGTGAAGCCATTTCACCAGTGAAGTTGTTTCATTTTTAGTTTGTTTTTAATTCACTGTTTGTTAAGATTTTTCTTGTTTATGTTTAGGAAATTAAGTTAGGGGCTGGGGATCAACCCAGGGCCTTTGTCATGCCAAGCACATGTCCTTCCACTGAACTCTACCCTGGCTCATTTGTTTATTTTTATTGTATTTATTTATTTATTTGGTACCAGGAATCAAACTCGGGTCCTTGTGTTTGTGAGGCAGGTGCCAGAACCTCTGAACTAAATTCCCAGCCCTCATTTGTTTATTTTTAGTAAGTAATATATTTCCTGATTCCAAAGTTTTTTTTTTTTTTTAGCAAAGTTAATTTAAGCAATTTATATAGGTAGGTATTTTAGTCATTTCCAAATTTTGCTCTTTGAAATAATGCTATATCAATCAAATAACAGTGTATATGTGATTATATTCTTGACTAAATTCTTAGTATTGGAATTATTAGATCAGAAGATATGTGCATTTGTTATTTTGGTATCTTACTAAATTACTGTACCAATTTCTATACTTAACAGTATGTGTCACTTAGATGTTTTACTCATAATACTATTAGGTTCTTGAAATTTTTGGCAGAGACATTTTCAAATTACCTTCCTAAGATTTGGCTTAGACTTTAAAAGGTAAGGTCCTTAATCTGTTTCCATTGTTATTTTTTGTTTAGTTTCTGTTTTTTGAGATAGGATCTCATTATGTAGTTCAGGCTGGTCCTGAACTCACTATATAGCCCAGGGAAAACCTTGCCTGGCTTTGTTGTTTTGTCTTAAAACAGGCCACACAGGCACATATCAAACTCAATACCAAGAACCTTTACCAAGCAGATGGGTGTGCAGTGAAAGAACTGCTGAAGATCACATCTGTCCTTTATAACGCAATGAAGACCAAAGGGATGGAAGGCTCCAAAATAGGCGAGGAAGATATCAGCAAGTTCAAGTTTGATCTTAGCTCCAGGGTAAGGACAGCCAAATACTTGTAGCAAGGGAGCGTTTGTTTAGACTTGGGATTGGAGTTGGGGGGGGTGACCACAGAGCCACTTCTTTCCCTAAGGGCGGTTGGTTAGTTTTATGCTCTTCGGAATTGAGATAAAAGGGAAGTTACAGTGAATTAATTCATAACTACTTACTGAAATCCCAGTATGTGACAGGTAACATTTGAGATGTGCGTGAAGAGGACAGAAGTTCTGTGTCTCTGTAGCCTATTCGAAGGAGTCAGACTGTGGACGATATTAAAAGTCTGGTACAGCCAGTGCCATGGAGATATAAGGCAGGGTCAGAGGTGGAGAGTTCTGGGAGGGGTATCTCAAATAAGGTAATCGGGAAGACCTCATGAATTGGATGGCTTAAAGATCTGAGGGAGGGAAGGAGCAGGCCACGCAAGCAGTGAGGGGAGTGTGTCCTGAGAAGAGAAGCTTCAGTAGGTGATTTTAATGAAAAGCAAGGAGGCCCTATGGTGAGAGCTAAAAGGGGAGGCAGTGGCAAACACTTTGGCCCCTGGAAAGGAAGCCTTTGACTTTTACTCTGAGCTGGAAGATCACTTGGGATTTTGAGCAGAGATGTATTTTCTGTGAAGAAGATTGCTCTGGCCTCTGGGCTGCTCTCAGGGAAGTGGGAGGTTAGGTGGGTGGTAGCAGGCATTTGAAACTGTGGGTGGGGAAATGGTAGAGGCCAGGAGTCCACCCGAGCTGACTAAAGCAACAAGCTAGAGTGACAGTTTAGGCCTCACATAACTTCTGTGAGGGAGTTAAGCAAGACTAAAACCAGAGGAAAGGACAACTGCCACTGTTCATTTCCCCCATAGAACAGTATCCCCACCAGTTAAGTGATGGAGCCCCCAACAAAGGCTCCAGCAGTTTTATGGCCATGAAGTAGTGCAAGGGGTCAGGAGTAGAGAAGTACAGGACACTGAAGCTGGGTAGGGGAGGTGTCCTGTGCACCTAAGGAGGCCTCAGAGGCCCTAAAGAGGACATCGGCCCACACACAGATGAAGAGACTGAGGAATAAAGGTGACAAGATTAGAAATACAAATGAAAGCAAGGGGACTGGGGATGTACCTCAGTTGTAGAGTGCTTGCCTAATATGTGAGAGGCCCTGGGTTTGATCCCCAGCACTGAAAGAGTTAAAAAAAAATCAAACTTGAAATAGATTATAAAGCTATATAACTCTTGCCAGGCGTCGTGGTGCACACCTGTAATCCCAGCACTCGGGAGGCTGAGGCAGGAGGATCACTGTGAGTTCAAGACCAGCCTGGGCTACATAGTGAGTTCCAGGTCAGTCTCAGCTACATAGTGAGACCCTGTCTCAAAAAA